TTTGAGTGGTTGTTCAATTTATAAACTCAATTTGAGTGGTTGTTCAAGAGCTATCGCCTTCTCAATAAACACAAAAGATTAAAAAGAAAAAACATAAAAATTAAATCAATAATAAAGCAGCAGGGTCTCTCAGGTCAAGGTACTCTCTACCATCTCTCTGCTACTTGCACATAAGAAATGAAATTTGGGTTTTCTTTGTTGTGTGTGAATTTGTTGGATTGGGTTTGGTTTGTTTGTTTGTGTGCTTGTGAAGGTGATGGCGTTGAAACGGATCCTGAAGGAGCTGAAGGACCTCCAGAAAGATCCTCCTACTTCATGCAGCGCTGGTATTTTCCATTTCCAAACCCGATCAGTTTCCTCTTTTTTCATTTTTATTCTGCTAAAGTTTTAATTTTGTGTTTTTGGGTAAGAATTGATGTAGGAGTTTGTTGATTGCCTCCTCTTTGGAGATTTTGGCTCATGTGTACCATCTGATTTGAGCTTCCATCTTTGCTTATTTTTAGAAATTTGCTATTTTTTATTAACCCAGACCAGGAAATCTATGCAAAGCTGCAGTCTTGCACCGATTTGGTGGTCATATCAATTTTATAGTATTTTTCTCGTGCCAAATTATGTGCTTGTCTCATAATCGAATGGAATTGCATTATTTTTAAGTTGGTCAACTGAATTTCATGAACCATCAGAGAATATGAAAGAAAATAGTGAATGATATGGGATACTGAAGGTGCTATTCTGTGACAGTTGTTACCCATACCCATTTCCTTGCCCTAATTAAATAGCAATAGACCTCCTACCTAGCATCTTGGGTATAAATGGGTAATTACCCTTTTAACTTGTTAAATGGTCTGGGTTGTGGCGACCTGTAATGACCCATTGAATCCTCAGGAAGAAAAGCTTTCAATTTTACACCTGGTTATCTGTATATCCGCAGCGGTTGGGACTGATTTTTGTGATTCTGAGTCTTATATGATTTTGAGGGCTGAGCAGATATGAAAGGTGTTAAAGAGGGAGTTGGGGCAGTCAAAGAAGTTGGCTGGTAATTTGAAGTTGGAACAATGTTATCCTTTGGTACAGCTGTTGTAATGTTTTAAATGTTGTGGTGGGAAGACTCATTCTTGTCTGCCAGGGTGGGTGGTTGCGTATTGTTTCGGGGTTTCTTTCTTGGCGCTTATGTCAATAGATTCTCTGAAATAGCATTTCTCTGCAAGTGAAGGATCAAATGCTTTCTCTTTCTTCTTTTAATATATTTCCCCTTTGGACCACTGTCTACCCCATTGAGTGAATTATAGTATCTTGAGCTGGATTCCATAATGGACTTAAAATTGGATTATATGGCTATGGGAATATAAGTGCCAAATAAATGGTAGTTCTTAGTCTATCTAGTTTATGACCCACCCTAAACTGACTCATTTGCCACCTTTGGTGCCATAAATGCTATATTATTTTGCTGGTAATTTGAAGATTACCATTAGTTTGTCTTATATATGGATATCTTATAAATGATACATATTTGTCTTTGAGTTTTGAATAACTCAACTGTGGTTGGAATCTTTTTGTCATCATCATCACGCCACCCTGGATTTTGATACCCTTAATGCCTGAAAAAGTTCATTCTTTTGGGAGAATATGAAGTCACTAATTTATAGCCACAGCCATCTATCTATTGTGTGCAATAAATCTATGTGCAAGTGCAACCCTTCAGATCTTTTAGGCAATTGGAACTCTTTTGTATCAAATTTTTCTCAATGAATTGGTAACTTTTGGCTGCTTTTTCTTTTCCGAAGAAATTTATACAATGAAATTTCTGATAAATGAAATTTTTTTATCTATTAACTTGTCATTCTCTTTGTTGTTGAAGTGCCATTAAAGTGTTGAATGTGAAAAGGAATAGGAAAGGAAGAAAAACACCGCAGTGGATTATTTTGATGGCAAGTCCCCATCTAATATAGGATAAATGATGCATTTGTTATTTCTTATGTAAGCTTATATTGATTGTTAATCATGTCTTACAACTAATCAATAATTATGTGTGGGGAACTCCTAAACAACCGACAAATACGGAGTGTGGATATTTTGTGATGCGTTATGTGAAGGGGATTGTTGAAGATAAAAATTTGGAATTTGCATCTAAGGTACTAAATATCCATATAGCATGGTAGAGTAGTACATTTAATTTGAATGGAAATTAAGTCTTTGATTAAGGCTGCTTTTTTATTATGAGACTTGGCTAAGTATTATTTTTGATATCTTATTACAGTGGAGTAAAACAAATGATTGTACATATACACAAAATCAAAGTGATGAAGTACGGCGTGAGTGGGCAGATTATGTGATGACCTGTGTAGCTCAGACCTCAAAGTGGACAAGGGGTTTTTGCTCAGAATAGTGGACAAGGTTATGAACCACTGTTTTGGTTTCTTTTGAACATGATTACGTGGCAATCACTTTGATTGTCATTTTGTGAATGGTAGAATTTTCACATAGAATATTTTAGAATCTGTGGTTGGTAGCTTTGGGATGTATGTACTAAATTCAAAGCTTTGGTTGCCTGTAGACCTCAAATTGTTGTAATTGAACCAATTTTGGAATTGTATGGTTCGAATTCTTTTCATATTGAAATACGAATACATCATTGTTATGCCTATATTCGTTAATTTTGGAATGCAACGATATTAATTTTAAAAAAATCATATTCAGTACTGAAGGAATGTCATTATTACAGCAGTCACCTTCTTAACTACAACGGTTACCCATTCCAACCGTTGTAGAAATCCACTTATTACAACAATTAGAACCAACAACCGTTGTGCAAAGTTGTTGAAAACCGTTGTTGAAAGTTCAATTTTACAACGGTTTTGCTCATTAACCGTTGTAGTAAGAGTTATACTACAACGGTTATTGAGCAAAACCGTTGTTGAAAATGCCATATTACAACGGTTGCTCTTGTATAGCTGTTTTATACATGAGAATTAACAACGGTTTTCCTTAAAAACCGTTGTTGAAAGTGACATACTACAACGGTTTTTGACCGATGTCATAAATAGGTAGAAACAATGACACTCTTAACCTCAACGGTTTTAGAAGACTTTTAACAACGGCTAAAAACCGTTGTCTATTAACTTTATTGTAGTAGTGTGAGTAACATGAGTAGAGGACATAAATATGAACATTCGCATATACCCACACATAGATATATTTTCACAGATTGGTGGAATAAAAAATATAAACATACATCTGAGTTAAAAAAAACAAATTAGAAACTCACTAATGGGAATTGCTGGCTTCGTAATTTTAGCTAGCTCACGAGCTGAGAGCTCAGAGGAGATGAGGATCATAAGAGCAAACATAAAGTCAAGAAGAAGAAAAGACTTGGAGGATGATGCCATGTTTTTCTTAACAACACAATTAAGGTGAAGACAAGATTGTTGAGTGAACTTAATGTGGCTTGGTCTCAACCAATTTATAGACCCTTGAGGACATGGATGGACTCAGGATTTTAAACTTGACTGGGTTAAATTTACTTTACATATAAACATACTAAGTAGAAAGAAAACTCAATAGTACGATGTAATTTCATTGAGAAATAGTTAAAAAATTTCTTCTACTTTTCTTTCCTTTTTTCCACTAGCTGTGTGCATTCTCTTTTCTCTCTTTTTTTTTTTATCCAATGTGCTGTAGGTTGCAGCTTTCCCTTTTATTCCCCACGTGCAAAGCAGTGCAAGCAAAGGATTCCTAAGAAAAGTAGGATATTCAATTGGATGGTTGGCTGGGCTATTCTTTTTTTTTGGTTGGGTATTTTAAATATTCTCAGTACACACAATTTGCCTCAACTATGTTATACACTCGTATAAATCTTCTCATTCCAAGAAAAAACAAGGAATTGAAAAGAATGAAATCACCAAATAGCATGCATAAAAGTAAGTAGTATTTGCCCACAACTGAAAACTGAGGGTACGATATATGAATCAATTAAAACTATGATCAATTACACTGAAGCATGAAAGGTTCAACTTTAATAATTTAACTAATAAATTGAGAAATAACACCTGAATTTTGGGTATTTTTTCCTTTCAAATATCGCATAAAACTAAACTAAACATTCAAAGCACCGTATAAAATTTATATATAAATTTTTTTTTAAACTCATATAAAATAAAATAAAATAATTTAAAACAACTTAAAATATAAAAAAAGTTCAAAAAACTAACAAAGTAGAATTGCTGAGCTAAAAACAAAAGAATGCTCAATCAACCCAAAAAACAAACAACGAAAGTTTTGATACCTCTTAAAAAATCCAAACAATTTTTTCTCTTTATCCAAACTTTTTCGCATTTTTGGTCTACACACAATGTGAATCATATTTCGACAACTTTTGACTACGCAGAAATTATACCTACCAAGACCAAAGACCAAATATCAAATCAAAGCTAGCCTTGGTTGCAAAATTTTCCAAAAGCTGCTTGCTTGCTTGCTAATTTACCAGTTACAATAATTTGCTAGCTAGCTAACATTGGGACCTACACCCATGTGACGATATACACTGGCGGAACCACACTAATGGTTATAGTGGGTTGTAGCCTAGTGTGGTTTTTTAAGGAAAAATAATATAAAACCTATATATTGAACTTGTTTTTAATATTAGCCCAGTTATTAAGGTGTAAGAAGGTGCAACTATATGATATGAAAGGCTTGGTTGAATTAATTTTAAAACTTCCATCAACATATAGTTACTCTTAATGGAGATTTTCATTGATACACAAATTATGGAAAAAGAAATTGCTAGGATAGATTTCAAACGTATATATAAAGATAGAAAGCCACATATCTTAGACGCAGTATGATATGAGAACTAGTACAAAGATAAACCTTAAAATCCTAATTAATTATGATTGAGAGTTTTATTAACAACTCAACCAATACATTACATTAACATTTGTTGACAAAACAACCTCTTATTACCACATAGTACCTGCAATATCCACTGAAAAAAGGTAGTCTATTTAATTCCCAATTTCAATCTCAACAACACCAGGTCCTGGTTGTGGTTTGGGCGGGGGCGGGGTCATGTGACATGGTCTAATATACCGATCGCATTTGGGAGTTGTTACTGTCGTCTTTTTAAATACAACGACGATTTTTTCTTCTACCGTCGTCTTTTTCTGGTCGTCTTTTTCACTTTTTGTAGTAGTGCCTTCAAAGGGATAGGTATTACCCCCTGAAAGAAAAGTAGTAATCTATATAAGTCTAAAGAATTTATATCACTTTGACAAGCATAGATCGGCTTGTATTTTGTACGGGGCAAAGCCATGCAAACAGTAGCCTTGTAAAATGAACTTAACATCGAGAAGATCTTGATATATTAAGAAATTTCATATGATTTTGTAAAAAAAATAATTATTGGGACTATTAATTCACATAAAGGTAGAAATTAGAATAGAGCTACAGTTGGGTATAGTCTAGGAGGGTAAAAGTGGGTGAGTGAAGATTAAGGGTTTGCTAATTACTATTTGCCCTTAATTTTTAAATTTAATATTAAAATTGTTTTATCTAGACTAGGGACATAATTCACATTTATACTCAAACCTACAAAGAAATTTCTCTTAAAAAAAATGGCATAGATGCCAATAAATACTTACTCTAATAGTACATTTGTTCTCAATGTTAAAATATGCATATCAAATTCGAGTCCCTTCTCCTCTCATATCAAAAGAAAGTACATAGATACATATGTAATGTATATATTTCTATGATTTGAATGGTAAAATTTGTGGGTTGAAAGTGTGTTGAAATATTCATTTTTAGGTCCTTTTCTTAAATCATCCCTAAGAATGATCAACAAATTTAATGAATGACATAGTTTATCTTTAAGGTCATTTTAACGTTTGCCGAAATTTTTTTAGTTTGTTTTTGTAATTTATGATTTGACTGATTACTAACAGGATAATACAACACCCATGAAAATAATATGAGTAGAGGTCATAAATATGAACATCCACATATACCCACACATAGATATATTTTCACAGATCGGTGGAAAATAAAAAAAATATAAACATACATATGAGTTAAAAAAACAAATTAGAAACTCACTAATAGGAATTGCTGGCTTAGTAATTTCCGCTAGCTCACGAGCTGAGACCTCAGAGGAGATGAGGATCACAAGAGCAAAGATAAAGTCAAGAAGAAGAAAAGACTTGGAGGATGATGCCATGTTTTTCTTAACGACACAATTATGGTGAAGACAAGAATGCATTAATTCCTAATACATTGGTAACAACAAATTAAAGGTGCTGTTTTTTTAATCCAAAAAACAGCTAGCCCAGTCCTCCATTCAGCCGAAAGTTGCTTCCTACTTGATGTTCCACTTCACTTGGTTCCTTTGCTTTTTACAAAGTTGACCCAGCCATCATTGCCCACTCAGCATCTCCAAGGGAGATGTTAAATACCAAATATCAAATTTAAATTTGATAGCTGATATGGCAATTTGACATTTTAGAGCATCTCCAAGGGAGATGTCAAATACCAAACATCAAATTTAAATTTAATGAATGATGTGGCAATTTGACATCTTATACAGCTGTATACTCCACCCGATGTGTCAAATTAAATTATTATTTTATTACATTTTAGTGTTGATTCATTATTAATTAATAAGAAAAGAAAAGAAAAAATAATAAAATATTCATTTGACATCTTGCTTTTGGGATGTCAAAAATAACATCTCAACCTCTAGCCTTCATTTCACATTAGCTTTGACACATCGGTTGGAGTAATGTGAGATGTTAATTATAGCTGTTAAATGTTTATGTGGCATGTTTGACACGTCGGTTGGAGATGCTCTTACACTTTACACTCTACCCGATATGTTAAATTAAATTATTATTTTATTACATTTTAGTGGTGATTTATTTTTAATTAAAAAGAAAAGAAAAGAAAAAAAAATAAAATGTTCATTTGACATCTTGCTTTTGGGATGTCAAAAATAACATCTCAACCTCCAGCCTTCATTCCACATCAGCTTTGACATACCGGTTAGAGTGATGTGAGATGTTATTTCTAGCAGTTAAATGTCTATGTGGCAGTTTTGACACATTGGTTGGAGATGCTCTTAGAACCTGACTTTAGACATCTCACGTGCCAATTCCTTTATTTACATTTGATCACCTAACACACTATGTGCCTCTTGACAATTCCAAGGGTCACTTAACCAAACGGACCCAGGATTTCAAACTTGACTGGGCTACCTTACATATAAACATACTAAGTAATTAGAAAACTCGATAGTACGATGTAATTTCATTGATAACAAAAAATTAATAATACATCTACTCAAGGGGGGGACATAATATTTGGATGATCTGACATTGTAAAGTTAAAGTATAACCTATTGGATAAGCAAGAACACCAAAATCAATTGCAAATCCTATTTGATAAGCTCTAATTGTAAATCCCTAATTGATAAATAAATCACAAGTCTCAATTGAAAATATGTAATTGATACTAAATAAAATCCAAAAAAATTCTCAAATTTCAACATCAACAAATTGAGTGAGCTTACCGTACCTGACAAATATAGGAGCTTGGTTTGCTTCTTGAATGAAGCCTTGAATGTGCACTACTACAAAAAGTGAAAAAGACGACCAGAAAAAAACGACGGTTTAACGGAAAACCGTCGTTGTGTTTGAAAAGACGGCGATTTTATAAAACCGCCATGTAAGAACAACTTAAACACCTAAAAAATGGGGAATCCAATGGTTGATTTTAAAACATGACACACCTGTATTAAAAAGCGACGTCTTATTGAAAAAGGTTTTCTTCATAGTAAACTCAGGGCCAAAAAACAACGGCAGAAGGTATGACTAAACCACCGTAGAAAGAAAAGACGACGGTTTAAAAAACAGACGCCGTCTTTTCTTTGAAATAACCACGACCAAGTTTTCGTATTTGGTGTCGCATAATTTCAAAAGAATCTACGGCGGTATATTACAAAATACATGTACAACGACGTAAAATATAATTTTATCAACTTATTTCATGATCCATACTATGACGGTATCTTTAACTGTAACCACGTTGGTTTGTTCAATTAACAACGTGTAATAAAATTTACTACGGCGTGAAGTTAAAATTACCGTCGTATTTATTCACTTTATACGTCTACCCTTATACCTAAACAGTCGTCTTAATGACATTATTTTTTACTATTTATTTCTTGGATTTTGGTATCCTATGACGGTAGACCAACTTAATGACAAGAATTGAGAATAACCACGACGGTTTATATAGAAAACCGCGACATAATAGATTTTTCTGAGATCCAATATATACATCGTGAAGTTAAAATTACCGTCGTATTTATTCACTTTATACGTCCGACGTTATATCTAAACCGTCGTCTTAATTGTAATTTAAAAAAAATAAAAAATCTTGAATTTTGTCATCCTACGTCTGTAGATTAACTTAATGTCAAGAATTGAGAATAACCACGACGGTTTATATAGAAAACAGCCGACAGAATTAGATCTAAGATCCTAAGAGTTACGAAATCTTACCAGATGGAACTCTGTTCCTCATCATAATCGGACCACAGAAAGGCAATATTTTAGAGGTTGATGATGTATGTGTCTTCGTGTCTTTGAAACACATGAAGGCACATACACATCAACATCCAAAAATTTGCCTCTAAAATTTGACGACGGCAGGCACAGATTTGCATTTAGAAAGGCAATTTTTTGGAAGTTGATGATGTGTGTGCATTTGTGTATCTACACAAACGCACACACACATCAACATCCAAGCAATTGCCTTTATAATTTGACGACGGTAGCCACAGATTTGCATTCAGAGAGACAATATTTTAGAGATTGATGATGTATGTGTATTTGTGTCTCAAGACACAAATACACACACATCAACATCCAAAACAATTGCCTCCTAAGATGTGAGACAGAGGGCAAGAAGAAATTGGAACCCTAATTGAAAACTGAAACTGAAAGAAATCGTGGAAAAAAACTCAATTTATAAAAAAAAATTCATATCCACGTCGGTTACATTTAAAATAACGCCGTGTAATTCAGAATAAACGTCGGTTCTGGAAAAAAGTAGGACGCATTAATCATAAAAACAACGACGGTTAATAACATTAAGTCAACGAGGTTTTTGAAAACCACGTCGGTTTAATATAAGAAAAGGACGTGGTAACTTATAATATTACTTATTTAAAAGTAAACTTTTGACGTGTAGCACCCAACTAACCACGTCGTTTTCGGAATACAAAAAGTCCAATGGCTTTTTACTAACTACGTTGGTTTGTTCAATTAAGGCCGTGTAATAAAATTTACTACGTCCTGAAGTTAAAATTACTGACGTATTTATTTACTTTATATGTCTACCCTTATACCTAAACGGTCGTCTTAAGTACATTATTTTTTAATATTTATTTCTTGGATTTTGGAATCCTACGACGGTAGACCAACTTAATGACAAGAACTGGGAATAACCACGACGGTTTATATAGAAAACCGCCGACATAATAGATTTTTCTGAGATCTAATATATACGTCGTGAAGTTAAAATTACCGTCGTCTTTATACGTCCGACCTTATATCTAAACCGTAGTCTTAATTTAAAAAAAAAAAAAAAAAAAAAAAAAAAAAAAATTCTTGAATTTTTGTCACCCTACGTCTGTAGATCAACTTAATGTCAAGAACTGAGTATAACCAGGACGGTTTATATAGAAAACAGCAGACAGAATTAGATCTCAGATCCTAAGAGTTACGAAATCTTACAAGATGGAACTCTATTCCTCATCATAATCAGACCACAAAAATGCAATATTTTAGAGGTTGATGATGTATGTGTCTTCGTGTCTTTGAAACACACGAAGGCACATACACATCAACACCCAAAAATTTGACGACGGCAGGCACAGATTTGCATTTAGAAAGGCAATTTTTTGGAAGTTGATGATGTGTGTGCGTTTGTGTATCTACACAAACGCACACACACATCAACATCCAAACAATTGCCACTAAAATTTGATGACGGCAGCCACAGATTTGCATTCAGAGAGACAATTTTTTGAATGTTGGTGATGTGTGTATATTTGTGAATCAGATACACAAACATACACACACACCAACATCCAAACAATTGCCTCCTAAGAGGTGAGACAGAGCCAAGGGCAAGAAGAAATTGGAATCCTAATTGAAAACTGAAACTGAAAGAAATCGTGGAAAAAACTCAATTTATAAAAAAAAATTCATATCCACATCGGTTACGTTTAAAATAACTCCGTGTAATAATGAATCAACGTTGGTTCTCGAAGTAAGACATATTAAACAACAAACAACGTTGGTTATTGACATTAAGTCAACGAGGTTTTTGAAAACTACGGCGGTTGCATATAAAAAAACGACGTGGTAACTTATAATATTACTTATTTAAAAGTAAACTTTTGACGTGTAGCGCCCAACTAACCACGTCGTTTTCGGAATACAAAAGGTCAAAAGGCTTTTTACTAACTACGTCGGTTCATATTATTTTAATGTTGTCGGTTTATATGATCACCATCGTTGGATTTATCTTGGGACACTATATAAACTTTTTGGTCACCTGACCTAAACTTTTACGTTCTCTCTAAAATTTTCAGTTTTCTCTCAGTTTCCCTCTCATTTCCGAAAAGCTGCGTTTCTGATTCTCAGTTTCCCTCTCAAGTTCTACGTTCTTCCTCATCTTCGTCTCCAAAATTTGATTACGAAGGAAACTTTCTTTGCAAGCCAAAGGTTTGAAAACTTCCTCACTCCTTTTTTTTTCTTTATTTGAAGTTTTTTTTTGTTTAAAGAACTATCTCACTGATGTTTGAAACAAGACTCAGGTTTGAAAATGGCAAATCTTTCTCACAGGTCATGTGAGGACGACAGGTTTTATTTAAACCGTCGTCTGGTTTATTGGAAGAACGTGGGAGAGAGAAAACTGGGCGGGTTTTTTTATGAATTTATAATACAACGACGGTCTTATTTAATGACCGTCGTGTTAAGTTAATGATTACGTCGTATTAACACATCCTCATTTTGTCGATTTGCACGACGGTTCTTTTTTTGTCCGTCATCGGAACTTTCATTTTACGTCTGTATTTCACCTAACTGTCGTTGTTTTTCTTGCAGTTTGTATTTCTCTGTAACCATGGTTTCAAAATCTCAAAGTAAGGATTCTCAGGCATCCAAAGGTCAAGGCAAGGACATTGCAGTTTCAAAGGCACAATCTCTTCCAAGCAATCCCCCAAAGAAGATGAGATTTACTTCATCTTCCGAGAAAGACCCAAGCTCTGCGACATTTGATGAAGTGACGAAATCTACTCGCGGTATCAACACAATGAGTCGTGTTGTGAAGAGGAAAATCCAGAAGATTAAGCCTGTGGTTGAGTACAATAAAAGTGGCATACCACATGGCAAGGCTGCTATTGAGATGCAGAGTTACATTGGTGTTTTGGCACGCACCTGTTGGCTGCGCAAATCTCACGGCTTGGTGCTCTGGGCTGAGGGGATGTGCATTAACACGTGGCGTCCTTCTTTTGGGTGCGGTGCGGTTGTGCGCGAGCGTGCCAGTACGGTCTACCGTGCATCGAGATGGTGATGAGGTTTGGGTAGAAGATGGTTAAATGATGCGCTTGTTTTGCGTTCGACTCTTAATCAAACGATTGTGGCCGAGAGAGGAACTGATCTTGGCCGTCAGGTTCACGGCCTGAGCTACAAGGCCGTTTAGTGGTGGTATTGGTGGCGGATTTTAGGCGGTGCTCCGACGCGTTGCTCAGAGAGCGACGATCGTATGATATATGGGGTGAATGTGATGATAACAGAGATGGTGCTCTGACGCCTTGAAAATCAAGGGTCGTATGATATATTGATGAATGAATTTTCCTTACAATCTACCACTACTCCTAGGAAAGCAAATAAAGGTATTGAAAGTGCATTACAGGAAAATATAATTTGCTCTGTGGGAGGCTTTTGGTTTGGTGTTTAAACTCTTTGAATGTAGTCTTGAGCTTAGTATTTATAGGAGGAGTCCTGGAGGGACAATCGACGCTGAAAAGACCTGCGTGGTGGAGCCTGATCGGGGCAAGTAGGTAGTCAAGTCGGCATTTGGGATCATGAAGCATGGTGGTGTGACCCCCATAAATCCTGGTAAATCTCAGCCACCGCCCTGATCGTGGGTTCTGCCCTCTTGGCCGTGGGAACGCATTTAATACCCTGGTCTGGTGGTTGGTGATCTGACCTCAAGTTGTAAGATTACTTGTGAGAATATTTGCGCCTAACCACTCTGATTTCCATCACCAAATCCTGATTTCAGTCACTTCCCTTCTTTCCTCGTGCATTAAATGCTTCTTGCGACTAGTGGGTTTGCTGCGATAGTCAGAGGCATTACTTCATTAAATGGGGCGTGGGACCCTGAGGCCATGTGGTGATTTAACCACAGTATCTTCGGTCATGTCCTTTACGGCCTTCGGCTTCAACCCATAATATCGCGGTCGCGAGGCCGAGAGGATTCTGCCTTTGCAGCTTTTCTTTTGTTTTTAGGAAGGCGAAATACCTAACGAAACGTGGCCGTTTCAGTTCATGAGTAGGTGCTAGGGCCGAGAGGAGGTCCCTTTGGTCAGTTTATGACCGTGATTTATTAGGCACAAACAGCACTAGAGTCCTTCTTGTGGACAAGAAATGGACTCAATTGCCCAAGGACCAAAAGGAGCAGATTTGGGAAGCTGTTCAAATGGCTTATGTTGTTGGGGAAGGGCGAAAGAAGATGGTGCTGTCATCTGCCGCCAAAAAATGGAAGGATTTTAAGTCTACCTTAAATAGGCAGTTTATCCTTCCATTCGCAAATGAGAAGGAGAAGTTAAAAGAGCCCCCTCAGCTTTATAAATTCATATAGAAATCTGAATGGGATGCCTTTGTAGCTTCAAGGTTATCCCCAGATTTTGAGGCTGTGCATTCTGAGCAGTCACAAAGAAGGGAGAAGGTTGTGTCTCGAAAAGGGTACATTGGTTTGGAGGATCAATTGGAAGAAACCATGCCCGGTGAAGAAATCGATCGATCTCTGCTATGGAAGAAGGCAAGAGAAGATAAACAGGGAAACATCCCTGATCCAAAGGTTGCAGAGAAGGCAAAATTAATCGTAAGTTTCACTGACTATATTCTAAACTTGTAAAACAGAGGTTTTATTTTTCATTTAGACGTCGGTCTTTTTATCAACCGTCGTTAGACACGAAACCTCACGACGGTTTTTAATCACCGCCTTTTAAAAAATAAATAACGTCAGTATTTTTATAAAACCGACGTCTTCATTGAATTACAACGACGGTTTTGTGTTTCTGTATAAGGTTTTTTAAATTAAATTTTGAACTTTGTTCATATTCACACGCACACACACTCTCTCTCCCTTTCTATTTCTCTGCAATTGGTTTGTACACTATTTCTGGATCAGTGAATAATTTGGTGAAGTGTTTTATCTATGATATCAAATAAACGACGGTTATTTCATGGATCGACGTTTTAATACATACAAAACGACGGTAGTTTTGGGACGATGTATTAAATTATTTTATGCGTCTGTTTTTAAAATAAATCGTCGTTATAACTTCTTTACCACGTCGGTTAATATTTTTATTAATTTATTTATTTGTTCAGTTTTACTATTTGTTCACTCACTGACATTCTCTCTCTCACTTTTAGGATGATTTGAAAAAACAAGTCTCCTAGGGCACTCTGACTGTCTATGGGAGCAACGATGTTTTGACCATGGCTTTGGGAACACCTAAACATGGTGGGAGGGTCAGAGGTGTTGGAGCTGGGGTTTCCCCAACTCAATTCTTCAATTTGCTGAGACAACAGAGAGTAAAATTTGCTGACAAATGGAAGGAAAGTGTTGTGGCAGCAGTGAGAGAGGAAACCAAAAAGATGGAGGCCAGGGCAAAGGAAAGTGTTATGGAGGCAGTCAGAGCACAGAGGGAAATTATGTTGAAACAATTCAGTCAACTAATTCCCAACTTTGATCCCAACATGCTCAGTAAAATTCCAACTACACAAACTACACCAATTCGTCAAATTCCTCCAATTCCTCAAGAGCAAAGCCCAAAAAATCCAATGTCTGACAAAGCAAGCTGCTCTAATGTGAGAGCCCCTGAATTGGATGAAGACAATCCCATGAATGATGCTGATGCTGATGCTGCTGAAAATCGTCAAGATCAAACGGTAAAATCTTTGACATTTGCTTTTTCTGAATTTTAAATTTTAAAGAGACGTCGGTATTTTTTTAAAAACCCGTTGTCTAGTTTAACCTAGACGACCTTTCTATTGTGTAGCGACGTTATAACTTTTACACAACGACTGTTATGTATTTACCGTAGTCTATAACCTTTACCCCGTCAGTATGTTCTAGAAACCGTCGTTGATATTATATACCACGTCGGTTTTGTTGATTTGTTGGAGTCATTTATTTTACTTCATGAACACACTAACTTTTATTTCTTTATTTATTTCTTGTTATAGGATCTCTCAAAGCTTGACATGTCAGCTCCTCTGTTAGCCCTATGCTAATATGTCGAGACCAAGTTGAAGCATGCTAACGAGACCATTATAGTTCACATGCCTGAGGAAATGTTTGGCACTGATCATGATACCTGGCTCTTGAGTGAAGACATTTTACAGTTTGCTTCCATGGTTGAGATTGGAGCCACAGTGATTGTAGTATACATGAGGTAATTCTAGAAATCCAATTTTGTTTTTTTTTACATTTTCTTTCTTTTAAATTAAAATCTCATTTAATTGAATTTCATATATTTAATTAGGTACCTATTTGACTATTTAAAAATGGCAAATATGGTAAAACCTGTTGGCCTCGTGGACCCTGGACAAGTCAGCTCTCAATCTGGAACGTTATCTCACCGCTCAAAACATCTCTTAGAAAGCCTGAAAAAGGCAGATGGGGATCAATTTTACTTGGTGCCTTATAATCCAGGGTTAGTCCCCTTCTACACTTAATTGGTTCCTTGTAATATATTTCTTTGTAGTATAATTAATATATAGGGATAATTTTGTGTAGGGGTCATTGGGTGTTAATAATTGTGAGACCAGCTAAGGAGATTGTCTATTACATGAATTCATTGCCAAACCGCTCTGTTGACGAGGACATGAGAAATATAGTGAATATGTAAGTTTCTTAATGAAAACCTATGATTTTTTATATCTGCATTTGATTGATACGACGTCTTTTTCCAATACCGACGTTGTAGTGAAAACACAACGATTTTTACAATGTATATAAACATATTTTTAGTAATTATTTGAACATTCATCAAAAAAATCAAATGAAATATATTGTTGTTTCTAATTTTTTATTATTTATAAAATATAAATGTGGTAAAATGAATTAAAATGAAAATAAATAAATAAAATGTAAATTAATTCCCAAAATCCGACGTCTCATTCATCTTTACACGTCACTTATATATAGTTGGAAACAAAACATCGACGGCATTTCTCAAGCACGACATTTAAGGTTGATATACACGTTGGTTTCTTTAAAAAACTGAAATCTACGAAAAAATTTGTAGAGACATACAACGTCCGTTACATGGTAAATGCTGACGTTGTATCCATAAATAACGTCATCATCAGAATAGTAATAGACGTTGTAAATAACTAAACACTTCAGTTATTACATTTTGACGTTTAATGTTTACTAGGACAACGTTATGCATTACTTAACGTCGTTGTAAACTGATGCAACGTCGGTTATGTACTTTTGTATTCAATTTTTGTATGACATTTAATATTTTATTCCTAATATTCGTAATAATTTCAAAAAAATTGCATAAAGTAACTGACAACTACTGTGCACTCATTGGAAGATTTTATCTCCCCTAAATCTTTAAAAAAATTATTTTTATTTGTATTTAATTACTAATATTAAAAAAATATTCATAAAAAATCTGAAAAATAAACTGACAAATTCTATGCACTCATTGAGACAATATCTATCCCCTACATGCCTGGAAATTTTAATTTTAGATTTCAAAATTAGAAGTGATAACAAAAGTCAAAATGATTTAGAGACAAACCACAATAGTCATTATACTTTCCATTACATAACCCTAAGGTTTATGTGATCCATTGGTGGTCACAAAATAATAATTGATAATATACATTTATTTAAGAATGTATAGGTTTATTTTAATTTTTTGACAATGTATATAAACATATTGTAAAAATGTGTTAAAATGAAATCAATGAAAATAAATCATAAAAATGTAAATTAATTCCCAAAATCCGACGTCTCATTCATCTTTACACGTCTCTTATATATAAACCACCGTCTTATTATAGCGGGAAACAAAACATCGACGGAATTTCTCCAAAACGACATTTAATGTTGATATACACGTCGGTTTCTTTAAAAACTGAAATCTACGAAAAAATTTGTAGAGACATACAACGTCCGTTACATGTTAAATGCTGACGTTGTATCCATAAACAACGTCATCATCAGAATAGTAATAGACGTTGTAAATAACTAAACACGTCGGTTATTTCATTGCGGCGTGTTATTATTACTAGGACGACGTTACGCATTACTTAACGTCGTTGTAAACTGATGCAACGTCGGTTATGTACTTTTGTATTCAATTTTTGTATGACATTTAATATTTTATTCCTAATATTCGTAATAATTTCAAAACAAATTCCATAAAATAAACTGACAACTACTATGCACTCATTGGAAGATTTTATCTGCCCTAAATCTTTAGAAAATTTAATTTTAAAATTATTTTATTTGTATTTAATTACTAATATTCAAAAATATTCATTAAAAATAGGAAAAATAAACTGACAAATTCTATGCACTCATTGAGACAATATCTATCCCTACATGCCTGAAAATTTTAATCTTAGATTTCAAAATTAGAGTGATAACAAAAGTCAAAATGATTTAGAGACAAAGCACAATAGTCATTATACTTTCCATTACATAACCCTAAGGTTTATGTGATCCATTGGTGGTCATAAAATTGAAAATTCTTTAAAATAGATTTTAGCCTAATAATATAGAAGGCATTGTTGTAACGAGTCCATAGCAATTTTCAGTTCATTTTTCTCGTACTTGTGTGTATTTTTATTTATTTATAATTATTGTAAAATTTAGGGTTTAGGGTTTAGGTTTTATTGAACCGATGCCGGTTTGCTCTCGCTCTTTTTGGTCAATACGCGCGTTCGAATCCCAGGAAACGCACACCAAAGCTAATTTTTTAATATTTTAGACGTCGGTTTTTGTATGGGCGATGTCAAAACATAATACAACGTCGTAAATGTAAAATAACCGTCGTTATAAATACAAAATTAAACGACTACCGGTTTGTATTTACCATCGTCTTTAATAAACGTGGTTCTTTGAAATTTTTGACTGGGATCTAAAATTTTCCGAATTTCCATTTAACCATAAATTATTTCCTTCTCTCTCTTCAACGTAAATTTGTCCTAAAGTTTTCGCTCTCTCTCAAAGCATTGGGTATTTTCTCTGAGCTCCCTCTGAAAGCATTGGGTATATTCTTAGAGCTCTCTCAAGCATTTGATATTTTCTCTCAGCTCTCTCTCAATATCCATGTAAGTATATTCTCTCAGCTCTCTCTCAATATTCTCTTATTATTAGTTTGTATATATTCTCTCAACACTTTCTCAATATTCTCTTAGATCTCTCTAAATATTTTGTTAGTTTGTATATTCTTTCAGCTTTGGTTTCTTAATATGGGTTCTTTTATGTTTTGGGAGCTATGGGTTCTTGATTGGGAGCTATATATGGGTTCTTTTATGTTTTGATGTTTGCATTCTGTTAAGGGTTCTTTGAAATGGAATGGGGATGGAAGAATTAGGCTTTGGTTTTTTGTAGATCACGACGACGGTTGGTTTCACCAACCGTCGTCTAAAACTTTATTATACGTCGGCTTGTTATTTACTACCGCCGTTGTTGTTAGTCTTCCGTAACCCAGCCCTGTTCTTCAAAAAGAATACAGACATCTTGTTGTTTGCTTAAAGATGACGGTAAATAGACATACCGTCGTCTTAATATATGTTACGCGACGATTATTTTGTACAAACCGTCGTCTGATTATTGTGTTTTTTTTTCATTTTTCCCAGTTTGTTCTCTTCTCTGTCAATATAGTAGTGTTTCATTGCTGGTCTTTTCACCCTATTATATGTATGATTTTATAGTGTGTGAGATGGATAAGTCATGGATGCATGCGGATAGAAGATCGAAGGCATATGAGTTAGGTGTGGAAGGATTTTTGAATTTTGCTGTAGAAAATCTTTTAAATACAACTCATATTCGTTGTCCATGTGTTAAATGTGGGAATATTCGATTGTTTGGAGTTGGAATTATAAGGGACCACTTATACTTTAATGGAATTGACCAAAGCTATAAGATTTGGACATGGCATGAAGAACCTTTGGAATGGACTACTAATGCTAGTAGAAATGTGGAAGAGGATGAGCAATGTGGGTTCAGTTTTGTTTCTGAAGAAGTAGGGATGGATGATAATGATTTAGGCGATATTGGATTTGATCCTTATGAGTTTGCCAATGTGATTGGGGATGGAGATCAACCCTTGTACCCTGGTAGCAGTAAGTACTCGATGTTGTCAGCTTTGGTGAAGTTATATAATTTGAAAGCAAAACATGGGATGAGTGATGTTTGTTTTACAGAATTATTGATACTTCAAAGAGATTTGCTTCCAGAAGGAAATACACTACCTTCCTCTATGTACGAGGCCAAAAAGACATTGTCTACCTTAGGGACCACGTATGTCCCAATGACTGAATCTTGTATAAGAATGATTATGAAGATTCAACTAATTGTCTTACTTGTGGTGTCTCAAGGTGGAAGGAAGGCAAAGATTCAATCTTGAAAGATGGTGTGCCAGCGAAGGTGGTGTGGTATTTTCCTCCAATTCCAAGGTTTAAAAGAATGTTTCAATCACATAAGACAACTAAGAGTTTGACTTGGCATGCTGCTAGAAAATCAGTTGACGGTCAAATGTCTCATCTAGCGGATTCCCTGTCGATATTGAGTAATATTCTATGATTTTAAATATTTTAGACGTCGGTTATTTAGAAAAAGTGACGTCTACCTCTGTTAAAGGGCCTTCTTTATTCTATTTAAACGACGAATCTATAAAAAAAAAAGACGTGTGCACGAGTTAACATGACGGTTTGTATTATAGTTCGCGACGTGGATAAATACATAAGCGTCGGTGATGCCTGGTGCAGGACGTAGTTATTTTATTTACGGTGGTTATTGAAAGACAAATGACATGTAATACTCTTTAAACGTCTGTTGGTTTGTGTGTACGTCGTTGTTTGTGGTTCACACGTCGGTTTCTTTTTTTTAAAACGTAGTAAATATTAACCACGACGGTTTCTAGCTTATCCAAGTCTTTTTCCCTTCATTTAGAGACGTGGATAATTATCTGTACGTCGGTTCTTCTTTGGATCTTGACATGTAACAGTCTTTAGACGTCTCCTTTTTCTTAAAACTGTTGTCTAATGTTGTCGGAGATTTCACTTTAGGCTAATTATATAGTAATTACACGTCGGTTAGTAATAAATATGGACGTTGAATTCCTTAACAACGTCGGTTATTAACTGTCGTGGTTGATTGTACAAAAGATGGCGGTCGATTTCACGACGGTTGGAAAACCTTCTACACGACAGTGGTTTCCCGTTGTCTATTTCGATTTTTGTAGTAGTGGTGAGTGCAACAACAACAAAAGTGTAGTCTATTTAATTCCCAATTTCACTGAAAAAAGGTAGTCCATTTAATTCCCAATTTCAATCTCAACAACCCCAGGTCTTGGTTTGGGCGGGGGCGGGGGCGGGGGCGGGGGCGGGGGCGGGGTTGATGTGATTAATTGCAAGTGGATAATATCGCTCAAATTAATATAGTAGTAAGTAGAGTATCGTTCCAACAGGGATCAAGTAATCTATTAAATACTAGAGTGATTTATTTCTAATTATAATTGAATTAAATGAAAAGAGAATCATAATGATTAAAATCTAATTAAGCAAGCTAAATAAATTGAGCTTAAGGAAATAATGTAAATGATGAAAACAAAGATGATAAAGCACAAGGGCACCGATTTCACCTAGCTAATCCCACCCAAATCCTTCTAGCTTATTAATTCTAATTACCTAACATGTTGATAATCGTTTTCCCTTACCTCACCAATACTCTCTTCCGAGTTATATTAGTTGTATTCCTTACTATAAACCCACTATATTCCTAGTTATGGATTTTGATAGCACATAACCCATTAAGATTTATGAAAAACAATAAAGATTACACAAACCATAACCTAGTCTTCCGAGTTGGCTATGTAATTTATGGTACTTGTTACAAGAAGCTATTTACTAGGAATCTCCTTCCGGTCTCAACCTAATTCTTCCAATCATGCAATTAGTGGCCAATTAATTGAAAGCATTAAGAACGGTAACAAACACTCAACATGTATAGATAAATAAAATTAACAATATAAAAGAATTTGAGTATTCATAGCTAGGCTACATCGTAGCCCTAGTAAAAGGAATTAGTTCATGAAGGACTTATTGAGAATCACAATGGTTGATGAAAGCATGGAAGACACCGATTTCTCGAAGTAGAATGTCAAGGTTGCGCAAGCTTTCTTCGTATTCTCCTATGGATATTTCAGCTATGAGTATGAATATGTATGATGATGGGGTCCTTCGAACAATGACCTAAACGTCTTATTTATAAGACTACTAGAAATCCTATTTAAGGTATAATTACAATTGTTATAAAAGTAGGATTCCTTCTAAAATATGGTCTTCTTTATTTCTCCTTGTTTGACTTGATTAATCTCCAATCTTCATCTTCTTGCCCTTTTTAGCACACTTTCTCCTATTTCCATAGCTCCTTCATAAATCTCACAAAACCAATTAAAACAACCAATTTAATCAAAGGACATTAACAAATAAATAAGTAAACGAGGCATAAAATATATATAAATTATAGGCTTATCAGGGGTCATGAGACATGGTCTAGCATACGGATGGCATTTGGGAGTTGAAGTACTTAGTCGGCCTTTAAAGGGATAGGTATTACCCCCTGAAAGAAAAGTAGTAATCTATATAAGTTTAAAGAATTTATATCACTTTGACAAGCATAGATCGGCTTGTATTTTGTACGGAGCAAAGCCATGCAGACAGCAGCCTTGTAAAATGAACTTTAAGATCGAGAAGATCTTGATATATTAAGAAATTTCATATGATTTTGTTAAAAAAAATTTATTGGGACTATTAATTCACAAAAAGGTAGAAATTAGAATAGAGCTACAGTTGGGTCTAGTCTAGGAGGGTAAAAGTGGGTGAGTGAAGATTAAGGGTTTGCTAATTACTATTTGCCCTTAATTTTTAAATTTAATAATAAAATTGTTTTATCTAGACTAGGGACATAATTCAAATTTATACTCAAACCTACAAAGAAACTTCTCTTAAAAAATGGCATAGATGCCAATTAAGTACTTAGTCTAATAGTAAATTTCTTCTCAAGTTAAATATGCATCTCAAATTCGAATCCCGTCTCCTCTCGGATCAAAAGAAATGACATAGATACATATGTAATGTATATATTTCTATGATTTGAATGGTAAAGTTCATGGGTTGAAAATGTGTTAAAATATTCATTTTTTAGGTCCTTTTCTTAAATCATCCCTACGAATGATCAACAAATTTAATGAATGACATAGTTTATCTTTAAGTTCATTTTAATGTTTGCTGAAATTTTTTAGTTTGTTTTTGTGATTTATGATTTGACTTGATTATTTGTAAGGATAATACAACACCCACAAAGAAAATAATATGAGTCGAGTAACATGAGTAGAGGTCATAAATGTGAACATCCACACATACCCACACATAGATATATTTTCACAGATCGGTGGAATAAAAAATATAAACATACATCTGAGTTAAAAAAACAAATTAGAAACTCACTAATAGGAATTGCTGGCTTAGTAATTTCCACTAGCTCATGAGCTGAGACCTCAAAGGAGATAAGGATCACAAGAGCAAACATAAAGTCAAGAAGAAGAAAAGACTTGGAGGATGATGCCATGTTTTTCTTAACAACGCAAATAAGGTGAAGACAAGATTGTTGAGTGAACTTAATGTGGCTTGGCCTCAACCAATTTATAGAGCCTTGAGGACAGGGACGGACTCAGGATTTCAAACTTGACTGGGCTAAATTTACCTTACATATAAACATAAGTAGATAGAAAACTCGATAGTACGATGTAATTTCATTGAGAAACAGTTAAAAAATTTATTCTACTTTTCTTTCCTTTTTTCCACCAGCTGTGTGCATTCTCTTTTTTCTCTGTTTTTTTTCTCCTATGTGCTGTTGGTTGCAGCTTTCCCTTTTATTCCCCACATGCAAAGCAGTGCAAGCAAAGGATTCCTAAGAATGGTAGGATATTGAATTGGTTGGGTTGGTTGTTTTTTTTTTTTTTTTTTTTTTTTTTTTTTTTTTTTGGGTATTTTAAATATTCTCAATACACACAATTTGCCTCAACTATGTTATACACTCGTATAAATCTTCCCATTCCAAAAAAAAACAAGGAATTGAAAAGAATGAAATCACCAAATAGCATGTGTAAAAGTATTAAGTAGTATTTACCCACAACTGAAAACTGAGGGTACAATATACGAATCAATTAAAACTATGATCAATCACACTGAAGCATGAAAGGTTCAACTTTAATAATTTAACTAATAAATAGAGAAATAACACCTGAATTTTGGGTATTTTTTCCTTTCAAATATCGCATAAAACTAAACTAAACATTCAAAGCACATATAAAATTTATATATAAAAAAAATTTAAAACTCATATAAAATAAAATAAAAAAATTTGAAACAACTTAAAACATAAAAAAGTTCAAAAAACTAACAAGTAGACTGAGAGAACATGGTAGTCAATTATTTATTAAAATGAACAAGATGGTGAGTGAGTAAAATTACTGAGCTAAAAACAAAAGAATGCTCAATCAACCCAAAAAACAAACAACGAAAGTTTTGGTACCTCTTAAAAAATCCAAACAATTTTTTCTCCTTATCCAAACTTTTTTGCATTTTTGGTCTACACACAATGTGAATCATATTTCGACAACTTTTGACTACGCATAAATTATACCTACCAAGACCAAAGACCAAAGACCAAATATCAAATCAAAGCCTTGGTTGCAAAATTTTCCAAAAGCTGCTTGCTGATTTACCAATCACAATAATTTCCTAGCTAGCTAACACTGGGACCTACACCCATGTGATAACATACACTGTCGGAACCACAGTAATGGTTATAGTGGGTTGCAGCCTACTGTGGTTTTTTAAGGAAAAAAATATAAAACCTATATATTTAACTTGTTTTCAATAGTAGCCCAGTTATCAAGGTGTAAGAAGGTGCAGCTATACCTCCCCTTACTGGAAAAATCATTGTAGGTGCTTCAAATTGCCCCTTTACTCAAATGGTGGTGGTCCACTCCAAGTGTACAGATGACCTTATTTCCATTTTCAGCATTTAAGTAAATGTCTTTTGCTAAAATATGAATATGGTTTGAATACTTTGGGTTAAGTTTTATTCTTCTCCATAAGGAGGTATATATAGGAGTTTACATGAGTGCTTTACAATGAAATAGATACAGTAATCAATTAGGATAGTATCTCCTAATTATACAATGATTTGTCAACTATATAGAATAGGAAAGTAAATCCCTTAATTAATCAATGTAATAAATCTCCTTGATTAATTAGGAAACTCACGTCAACACTCCTCGTCAAGTTAGTGCATATATATCACCAATCCCAACTTGGTAAGTGAGTCATGAAATACTCTGCCAGAAACAGCTTTTGTGAAGATATCTGCGAGTTGATCTTCTAATTTTACGAATGGTAGGTGAATGATCTTTTTCTCTATTTTTTCTTTGGTTCGATCATGTTGAACTGGAATATGGGCAATATTGATAGATGACTTGCTGTCACAATGCAACTCCAGTGGCTTTTCTTGCTTGAAACCCAATTCTGTCAAGAGTCTTCTGATCCACAATAATTCACAAACTTCGTGAGCCATTCCTCGATACTCTACTTCTGCACTAGACCGAGAAACCACATTTTGCTTTTTACTCCGCCAAGTGACTAGGTTACCTCCCACGAATGTAAAGTAACCTGAAGTAGAGCGTCTATCTGTAATGGAACTAGCCCAATCAGCATCTGTGTATCCAACAACTTGAAGATCTCCGTTTTTTGAGAATATTAATCCTTTCCCAAGAGCTGACTTTAAGTATCTTAAGATCCGATTAACTGCATTCCTATGAGAAACACTAGGCAAATGCATAAACTGACTAATCACACTCACAACATATGCAATATCTGGTCTTGTGTGTGCTAGGTATATCAACCTTCCAACAAGGCGTTGCTACTGTTCCTTATTGGTTGGTTCTTGGTCCATGTCTTCTCACAACTTCTGATTCATCTCAATGGGTGTGTCAGCAGGCTTACATCCAAGCATTCCTGTTTCAGTGAGTAGATCAATTACATACTTCTGTTGAGACAGAAATATACCGATTTTTGATCTTGCTACTTCGATTCCGAGAAAGTACTTCAAATCACCTAAATCCTTCATCTCAAATTCTTGAGACAAATACTTTTGTAACTTCAGTTGCGCTTCTGTGTCGTTTCCAGTTACAATTATGTCATCTACATAAACAATCAATACAGTAAGTTTTCCTTCATCACGCTTCAAGAACATGGTGTGATCTGAATTACTATATGTATATCCAAAATTCTTCATAGATTTAGTAAATATGCCAAATCATGACCTGGGAGATTGCTTTAACCCATATAATGACTTTTGAGCTTGCAAACTTAATTTTTCTTGTCAGGAGCTGAATTACATCTTGGGGGTAAATCTATATATACTTCTTCTTCCAAGTCTCCATGTAAGAATGCATTTTTGACATCAAACTGATGTAGTGGCCAATCGAGATTTTCTGCTGGAGACAATAGGACTCTAATAGTGTTAATCTTTGCTACTGGGGCAAAAGTCTCCTCGTAGTCTATCCCATATCTCTGTGTGTACCCTTTCGCCACCAATCTAGCTTTATATCTTTCAACTGATCCATCTACTTTGAGTTTCATAGTATAAATCCACCTGCTTCCTACTGTCTTCTTTCCATGAGGTAAGGGCATGAGTTCCCATGTGACATTCTTTTGGAGGGCTCGCATTTCTTCATTCATAGCTTCTTTCCATTTTGGGTCTTCTAGTGCTTCAGTTACACTATTGGGGGCATATATGTCAGCCAACTGCTTCACATAGTGCACAAGTGACTCTGATAATCTGCTGAGAGATATATAATTATTGATGGGGTATTTCCCTTTGTCTTTAAGATCTGCTTCATGTTGTACTTGAGGTTTACCACGGTTCTTCCATTCTATAAGCTGATATGTAGGCTCTGTGCCTTCTGAAATCAAATCATCAGGGGATATTTCATTAGTGTTATTAGTTTCAGGAAAAGATGTTACCTGAATGATTTCCTTAGCAGGTGGTTAGTGCGGTACTAGAGTTGAAGCGGGCAAATTCTCATAAAATGGTTCAATTTCCTCCTCCTGATTTTGACAGCGTGGAGACAATTGATCATTTTCCTCTGGCGACCAGTCATTTTGAAGCAGGTTCTCTGTAGTTGAAGAACTAAGGAAAGGTGATCGGTTGCTTTCCACTGGCAACCGATCATTTTGATGCAGAGTGACGTCTTGGGGGAAAAGAATCGAGAATTGAAGCAGTGGTGGATTCTCGATTCTCCTCCTGGGCTATTGAAAAATATAAGTCATGTTCCCAAAACACAACATCTATGAAGGTGAAGACCTTCTGACTAGAAGGATGATAACACCTGTATCCTTTCTGAAGAGGCGAATAGGCAATGAAAACACAATTTTCAGCTCGGGGATCCAATTTACTTCGTTGGTGATCATGTAAGTGGACAAATGCAACATAGCCAAAAACTCGGGGTTCCAGGTTTAGGGTGGGAGGTGTTTGGATATGGTGGTGAAGTGTTTGAAGTGGTGTTTGGAAATTTAGGATACTAGAGGGAATCCGATTGATAAGTTATACTGCAGAGACGACGGCTTTGCCCCAAAGGAATCGTGGCATATTGGCACCAAAGAGAGGCATGAACGACTTCCAATAAGTGTCTGTTCTTTCTTTCAGCCACCCCATTCTATTGGGGAGTGTAAAGACATGAGCGTTGATGTATGATGCCATGATCTTGTAAAAACTGGTTAAGATCATGGTTGAGAAATTCTCCGCCATTATTATAACGAAGAACCTGAATTCTGGCTTGAAACTGAGCCTCCACCATTTGATAAAACTGTTGAAACCTGGAACTGACTTCCCCTTTAGTTTTGAGAAGGGAAACCCAAGTCATGCGTGTGCAATAATCTATAAACGCGACAAACCATTGCGCCCTTGCTGGAGTGGCAATTTTAGCAGGTCCCCAAACATCATAATGAACAAGAGAAAACATAACCAAACTCTTATTTCAACTTAATAGGAATGGGACACGATGACTCTTAGCCAATTCACACGTATCACACTAGAAGTTAGAAACATCCAGACTGGAAAATAATGATGGAAACAACTTCTTAAGATAACCGAATGAGGCATCCCCAAGACATTTATGCCATAACCAAATTTTGTCTCTCTCCCCCTTGGAACAAGTTCCACTGGTTCTGAAAGCTTGAACAACCTTGTCCTCATTATCTGGTGCCCAGTCCAAGTAGTAGAGTTTGCCCTGTTGAGTACCATAACCAATCGTCTGTCTTGTGAGGATGTCCTGAAAAACACAAAGATTTGGCCAAAATGTTACTGTACACCCCAAAGGAGTAGTAATACAGAATCTAGATGTAGGGAAGTAGAAAGAGATAGAGAGCCCTCCCCAACCATAGGGGAGGGGGTACCATTAGCATTAGACACCGAAGACAGAGTGGATGATTTGCGACTAATAAGTTGGCTAGGATCTAAAGTCATGTGATCCGTAGCACCCGACTCGATAATCCATGCGGATTTTTGAGATGACGTATGAAAAGTAGAACCTTTGGTGGTGGCGATAGAAGCATGAGTCCGAGTAGCCGGGTCAGCTGGATTGACTACATTCTTCTTTGAGTCTACAATAAGGGGGAGAATCGTAGGGGTTCCTGACATTGCAGCGGAAGTAAGATGTGATATGAGAATGCGAGGAGTTGTGATTGAAGGAATTTGAATTGAGGAATTTGATGTAGGAATTAGATTTGAGAGGTATGTGTATAAGATTTGAGGGTATGTGTTTAGGGATTTCGATAAGAGGATTTGAGGAATTTAGATTCGAGGATTTGGATTTGGGGAAAATATGAGGAATTTGATTTTGGGTTTGGGATTTGAATATGAGAAATTTGAGATAAGGGTTAAGAGGCAACCTAGGATCGATTGCTCTGATACAATGCTAAAATATGAATATGGTTTGAATACCTTGGGTTAAGTTTTATTCTTCTCCATAAAGAGGTATATATAAGAGTTTACATGAGTGCTTTACAAGGAAATAGATACATATATACAATGATTTGTCAACTATATAGAATAGGAAAGTAAATCCCTTAGTTAATCAAGGAAAAAAATCTCCTTGATTAATTAGGAGACTCACGTCAACATCTTTGTCCTTTTACTTTCATTTATTTTTATATTACTCCATTTACTTAAGTTTACAATGTAAATAAGAAAGTATACCCTCCCCCCAAATTTGAATTCAAATAAATATTCTAGAAATCAAATTTCCACTAAATCAAAAAATGAAAAATTAGTTTTAGTGCAAAATACTATTTAGGCTAAAAATCATGACTCATTAAGTCAATTATATATTTGATACTAAATAGCCAAGCATAGTTACGAAGGATGTTAATTTTATTTTTTTTTGGTCGAATTAATGTTGCTATACTGTACACAAGCACACTTTTCTCATGCACTACTTGCCTGACTAAATAGTCAAAGAAGAGAAAGAATAATCCAAAGCATTATTCAATCACCAACGGACCAAGTATAATGTCTGCCGACATTATCTCTTAAGCCTACCAGCACTAGAATGCATTAATTCCTAATACATTGGCAACAGCAAATTGAAGGTGCTGTTGTTTTAATCCAAAAAACAGCCAGCCCGCTCTTCCAATCCGCCGAAAGTTGCTTCCTACTTGATGTTCCACTTCACTTGGTTCCTTAGTTTTTTACAAACCTGACTTTAGACATCTCACATGCCAATTACTTTAACACATTATGTGCCTCTTGACAATTCCAAGGGTCACTTAACCAAAGTACAGGGATGAACTTAGGATTTCAAATTTGACTGGGCTAAATTTACCTTACATATAAACATACTAAGTAGATAGAAAACTCGATAGTATGATGTAATTTCATTGATAACAAAAAATTAATAATACATCTACTCAAGGGGGGAACAAAATATTTGGATGATCCGACATTATAAAGTTAAAGTATAACCTATTGAAAAAGCAAGAACACCAAAATCAATTACAAATCCTATTTGATAATTCATAACTCATAAACTGAAATTGATAAGCTCCAATTGTAAATCCCTAGAAAACTCGAATGTACGATGTAATTTCATTGAGAAACAGTTAAAAAATTTCTTCTACTTTTCTTTCCTTTTTTCCACTAGCTGTGTGCATTCTCTTTTTTCTCTTCTTTATTTATTTATTTATTTTTTTTTCTCCTATGTGTTGTAGGCTGAAGCTTTCCCATTTATTCCCCACGTGCAAAGTAGTGCAAGCAAGGGATTCCTAAGAAGGGTAGGATATTCAATTGGATGGATGGCTGGGCTATAATTTTTTTTCGGGTGGGTATTTTAAATATTCTCAATACACACAATTTGCCTCAACTATGTTATACACTCCTATAAATCTTTTGATACATAAAACAACAACGGCAAAAAAGGGCCGTCATTAAGACATACAACGTCATACCAAAATAAAAATCATGTTACATGTCAAGAACTATTAATAAAGGTTAATTGAAACCTTTTAGGACATCGACAAACCATGGTTGTCGCCTAGCAGCAAGTCACGGTTATCCGAGCTAAATGAGACGTTGTGAAAGAACCTATTTAAATTGGAATGACAGTGCAATTGAATCCTTCTCTTATGTCAATACTCCTTATTCACATTATTAGATCATGGAATCCGATTGTCAATATCCTAATGTGAATTATTCCTTTTATATGATTATTTTGGTAAGATTTGAAGACTTCTTCTTTCAAGTTTTATCCACTATTTTGCGCAGAAATTTACCACAATCATATCTTGGAGTATTCTCTCTCCTTTACTACGAGTAGAGATTCCTTGTTGTACTTTTATTTGCTTCCATGACTATATTGAGAATCCGGATGAGCACTTATAAGCTACGCCTAATTCAGCATGACCGTATAGTGCCCTCAAAGATTAACAACATAGCCACAAAAAATCTATCATGCCTCAAGTCTAAGGATTAGTTTGCACCATTGTAATTTATGAGTTCCACCTTGACATGTGAGTAAATACTTCCATGTTGTAACTCATGTGTTGGATCGCGTTCAATGTACTTGTTCTTCTACAAGTACAACCTACACACATATCCCTGTGTCTCCACACTTAATGACTTGAGACCTTGCCATTCCCTACATATAGAGACGATACTGTGTGTACAGGTCTTTGCCGAATATTGACGCCCAATCAATATTCCTATGATCGGGGACATATTCAGGATTTAGGGATGATGAGAAGTCTGCAAGTATGCAATCTCATTACATAGCTCTCATATCCACTTGTGTATTCCTTGGACAATAGTTGTTCTACATATTGAAAGATGATCTAAGATGATTTAATGTATAAAACAACATTTCTTGCCCATTGATAACATAATATATCTTTTATCAAAGATGTCCTTAACTTATCCCTAAAGCAGACAATGTCTTTTTGGCCTCGTACATAGAGGAAGGTAGTGTATTCCCTTCTGGAAGTAAATCTCCTTGAAGTATCAATAATTTTGTAAAACAAACATCACTCATCCCATGTTTTGCTTTCAAATTATATAACTTCACCAAAGCCGACAACATCGTGTATTTACTGCTACCAGGGTACAAGGGTTGATCTCCATCCCCAATCACATTGGCAAACTCATAAGGATCAAATCCAATATCGCCTAAATCATTATCATCCATCCCTACTTCTTCAGAAACAAAACTGAACCCACATTGCTCATCTTCTTCCACATTTCTACTAGCATTAGTAGTCCATTCCCAAGGGTTAATTCCACTAAAGTATAAGTGGTCCCTTATAATTCAAACTCCAAACAATCGAATATTCCCACATTTAACACATGGACAACGAATATGAGTTGTACTTAAAAGATTTTCTACAGCAAAATTAAAAAATCCTTCCACACCTAACTCATATGCCTTCGATCTTCTATCCGCATGCATCCATGACTTATCCATCTCATACACTATAAAATCATACATATAATAAAGTGAAAAGACCAGCAATGAAACACTACTATATTGATAGAGAAGAGAACAAAGTGGGAATATAGAAAAAAAAATTGCACAATAGTCAGACGACGGTTTTTACAAAATAATTGTTGCGTAACATAGAGTAAGACGACGATATGTCTATTTACCGTCATCTTTAAGCAAACAACAAGATATTTGTATTCTTTTTGAAGAACAAGGCTGGGTTATGGTCGAATAACAATGATGGCAGTAGTAAATAAAAAGCCGAAGTATAATAAAAATTGAGACGACGGTTGGTGGAAACCAACGGTCGTCGTGGTTTATAAAAAACCAAAGCCTAATTCTTTCATCCCCATTCCATTTCAAAGAACCCTTAACAGAATGCAAACATCAAAACATATATAGCTCCCAATCAAGAACCCATAGCTCCCAAAACATAAAAGAACCCATATTAAGAAACCAAAGCTGAGAGAATATAGAAACTAACAGAATATTTAGAGAGATCTAAGAGAATATTGAGAGAGTTCTGAGAGAATATATATACAAACTAATAAGAGAATATTGAGAGAGAGCTGATAGAAAATATCAAATGCTTGAGAGAGCTCAGAGAATATACCCAATGCTTTGAGAGAGAGCGAAAACTTTAAGACAAATTTACGTTGAAAAGAGAGAAGGAAATACTTTAGGATTAAATGGAAATTCGGAAAATTTTAAATCCCGGTCAAAAATTTCAAAGGATCGCGTTTATTAAAGACAACGGAAAATACAACCCAGTAGTCGCCCATACAAAAACTGACGTCTAAAATATTAAAAAATTAGCTTTGGTGTGCGTTTCATAGTATTGGAACGCGCGTATTGACCAAAAAGAGTGAGAGCAAACCAGGGTTGTTTCGATAAAACCTAAACCCTAAACCTTAAATTTTACAATAATTATAAAACAATACACAAGTATGATAAAAATGAACTGAAAATTGCTATGGACTCCTTACAACAATGCCTTCTATATTATTAGGCTAAAATCTTATTAAAGAATTTTCAATTTTATGACCACCAATGGATCACATAAACCTTAGGGTTATATAATGGAAAGTATAATGACTATTGTGCTTTGTCTCTAAATCATTTTGACTTTTGTTATCACTTATAATTTTGAAATCTAAAATTAAAATTTTAAGGCATGTAGGGGGTAGATATTGTCTCAATGAGTGCATAGAATTTGTCGGTTTATTTTTCGGATATTTTTTTGAATATTTTTTGAATATTAGTAATTAAATACAAATAAAAATAATTTTAACATTAAATTTTTTAAAGATTTAGGGGAGATAAAATCTTCCAATGAGTGCATAGTAGTGGTCAGTTTATTTTATGGAATTTGTTTTGAAATTATTATGAATATTAAGAATAAAATATAAAAGTCATACAAAAATTGAATACAAACGTACATAACTGACGTTGCATCAGTTTACAACGACGTTAAGTAACTCCTGACGACGTCCTATTAAACATTAAACGTCGCAATGTAATAATCGCCGTGTTTAGTTATTTACAACGTCTATTACTATTCTGATGACGACGTTGTTTATGGATACAACGTCACCATTTAACCTCTAACGGACGTTGTATGTCTCTAAAAATTTTTTCGTAGATTTCAATTTTTTGAGAAATGTCGTCAATGTTTTGTTTCCCGCTATAACAAGACGGCGGTGATTTATATATAAAAGACGTGTATAGATGAATGAGACGTCGGGTTTTGGGAATTAATTTACATTTTGACGATTTATTTTCATTTTAGTTCATTTTACCACATTTATATTTCATACAAAAAACAAAAATAGAAACAACATTATATTTCATTTGATTTTTTTGATGAATGTTCAAATAATTACTAAAAATATGTTTATATACATTGTCAAAAAATTAAAATGAACCTAAACTTTTTTAAATAAATGTACATTATCAATTATTGTTTTGTAATTACTTGTTCACGAATTTTGCCCATTCCAGCGTGACTTCGTCAATATGTTCTTGAGTATACACAAACTGCAAATAAAGAACAAAAACCGACGTGTTACAAGTAATAAAATGACGGTTTTCAAAGCAAATGTCGTGGTATTAAAATAAAGAAATTTTATATTAAATTTTATCTTCTTCTCAAAGGCTAGGCCTAGATCATGAATTATATCTCTCATGAAACGTATCACGTAATAGCCACACTCCACATTTGTTGGTTGTCCAGGAGTGCCTTGTAGATTTTTCCATATGGGTTATTTACGTGATGATTGTTTCCCTGTGTGAGAGTTATACATTTTGATTGAACTGTTTCAAGAAAACAAAAAGTGTTAATGACAAAACTAAAAATCAGCATCAAAATTATTAACCGTCGTGGTAAATAAGTGAAGATGACGGTGTTGTAAAACAAATGACGTTGTAGTTTATTTAATACGTCGGAAAATAAGAACTGTCGTTGTCTTTCATTCTAACATTGGTGACGAAGAAAAACGACGTATAAGCAAAGTTAATTTTAAATGAAAGTTTAACAGAAAAAATTAAAAAGTCCTAAAATTAAAAACAGAATCGACGTGGTATTTCAATTAAGACGACGGTTTCAAGAAAATACTGATGTGGTATTTCAATTGAAAACGTCGGTTATAATATACCGTTGTTATGTTTTCACTACAACGTCGGTATTTGAAAAGGCCGTCGTATCAATCAAATGCATATATAAAAAATCATAGGCTTTCATTAATAAACTTACGTATTCACTATATTTCTCATGTTCTCGTCAACAGAGCGGTTTGACAATGAATTCATGTCATAGACAGTCTCCTTAGCTGGTCTCACAATTATTAACACCGAATGACCCCTACACAAAATTATCCATATATATTAAATATACTACAAAAAAATATATTACAAGGAACCAAGTATAGAAGGGGACTAACCCTGGATTATAAGGCACCAAGTAAAATTGATCCCCATCTGCCTTTTTCAGGCTTTCTGAGAGATGTTTTGAGCAGTGAGATAGCGTTCCAGATTAAGAGCTAACTTGTCTAGGGTCCACGAGGCCAACAAGGTTTACCATATTTGCCATTTTTAAATAGTAAAATAGGTACCTAATTAAATATATGAAATTCAATTAAATGAGATTTTTATTTAAAAGAAAGAAAATGTAAAAAAAACAAAATTGGATTTCTAGAATTACCTCATGTATACTGCAATCACTGTGGCTCCAATCTTCATGGAAGCAAACTGTAAAATGTCTTCACTCAAGAACTAGGTTTCATGATCAGTGCCAAACATTTCCTTAGGCATGTGAACTCTAATGGTCTCGTTAGCAGGCTTTAACTTGGTCTCGACATATTGGCATAGAGCTAACAGAGGAGCTGGCATGTCAAGCTTTGAGAGATCCTGTAACAAGAAATAAATAAAGAAATAAAAGTTAGTGTGTTCATGAAGTAAAATAAACGACTCCAACAAATCAACAAAACCGACGTGGTATATATTATCAACGACGGTTTCTAGAACATACTGACGGGGTAAAGGTTATAGACGACGTTAAATACAGAACAGTCGTTGTGTAAACGTTATAACGTCGCTACACAACAGAAAGGTCGTCTAGGTTAAACTAGACGATGGTTTTTAAAATAAACACCGACGTCTATTTAAAATTTAAAATTCAGAAAAAGCAAATGTCAAAGATTTTACCGTTTGATCTTGACGATTTTCATCAGCATCAGCATCATTCGTGGGATTGTCTTCATTCAATTCAAGGGCTCTCACATTAGAGCAACTTATTTTATCAGACATTGGATTTTTTGGGCTTTGCTCTTGAGGAATTGGAGGAATTGGAGGAATTGGAGTAATTGGTGTAGTTGGTGTAGTTGGAATTTTACTGAGCAAGTTGGGATCAAAGTTGGGAATTAGTTGACTGAATTGTTTCAACATAATTTCCCTCTTTGCTCTGACTGCCTCCATAACACTTTCCTTTGCCCTGGCCTCCATCTTTTTGGTTTCCTCTCTCACTGCTGCCATAACACTTTCCTTCAATTTGTCAGCAAATTTTACTCTCTTCTGTCTCGGCAAATTGAAGAATTGAGTTGGGGCAACCCCAACTCCAACACCTCTGACCCTTCCGTCATGGTCAGGGGTTCCCAAAGCCAAGGTCAAAACATCGTTGCTCCCAGAGACAGTCAGAGTTCCCTCGGAGACTTGTTTTTTCAAATCATCCTAAAAGTGAGAGAGAGAATGTCAGTGAGTGAACAGATAGTAAAACTGATCAAATAAATAAATTAATGAAAATAATATCCGACGTGGTAAAGAGGTTATAACGACGGTTTATTTTAGAAATAGACGCAGAAAATAATTTCATCCGTCGTCCCAAAACTACCGTCGTTTTGTATATATTAAAACGTCGGCCCATGAAATAACCGTCGTTCATTTGACATCATAGATAAAAACACTTAACCAAAATATTCACTGATCCAGAAATAGTGTACAAACCAATTGCAGAGAAATAGAGAGGGAGAGAGAGAGAGAGTGTGTGCGCGTGAATATGAAGAAAGTTCAAAATTTAATTTAAAAAACATCATACAGAAACACAAAACCGTTGTTGTAATTCAATGCAGACTTCAGTTTTATAAAAATACTAACGTTATATATTTTTTAAAAGGCGGTGATTAAAAACCGTCGTGGGGTTTCCTGTCTAACGAAAGTTGATAAAAAGACCAATGTCTGAATGAAAAATAAAACCTTTGTTTTACAAGTTTAGAACAGAGTCAGTGAAACTTACAATTAATTTTGCCTTCTCTGTAACCTTTGGATTAGGGATGTTTCCCTGTTTATCTTCTCTTGCCTTCTTCCATAGCAGAGATCGATCGATTTCTTCACCAGGCATGGTTTCTTCCAATTGATCCTCCAAACCAACATACCCTGTTTACACCATAATCAACCAAGCATATCCAACCTCAAAAGAACTAACACCAAGGCAGACACGCCTTCTCCCCTGCCGAAGGAAGACACTCTTCCGAGGTGCCAAGCACCTGCCGAAGCTCCCGACTGCTGACGCTCACAAACTACCAAACCTAATCTCCATGACACGTGTCGCCACCGCAGTGACTTGCACAAAGTCCCACATCGGAAATCTACACAAACCTCCCACTTTCACTTCCCTATAAATAGGGAACAATACCCTAGTAAAAAGGGTAACTACTTTCTTACCTTTTACTGTTACTCTGCTAAAGTTACCACTCTTAGCTGACTTAAGTATCGGAGAGCCTTAGGCCGGCACCACACCGGTGTCCGAAGCTTAACGACTGCTTCTCCTATTTTGTCTTCTGCGGGCTAGCCCCTTATTGAAGGCCCAGGCCCTTCTCCTGTTGAAGGCAAACCCCTTTTTTCTCTACGAAAAAGAGCATCAACAGTTTGTGGGAAACGATACTTGAATCCCATTTTTCTCTACCAGCCCAGCTGGCTCCTTCTCCTATCCGACCCTGTCGCTTCTTCTTCACTCCACACTCTGCTATGCCTACTGAGGATAGCCACGATACTCAGCACCATACCCCCCATGAGGGTACCTCCTAGAGGAGACCTTCAGCGGAGGTCAATCTCCAAGCCGAGGTAGAGCTCTTCCGCGCCAGTGTCACCAAGATGTCCGAGAAGTATGACCATCTTCATGCCAAAAACGTTGAGCTAGAACATGACTACCACACGCTAAAGCGTAACTGGGAGATGAATCAGGCCCAGGGCTCCCAAAGTAGCCTTACCAAGGAACCTGAGCGTACCCAGCCAAACCAGTCGGAGCACTCCCACCACAGTGCCCCAATCCAGCCTAGGCTCAACAAGGGTAAAGGCCCCCTCCACCCGGAGACGACCAAGTCGTGGCTCCTCCGCATCTCCCTGCCGAAGGACCCGCCCCAAGAACCAATGAAGGTCTACAGGAATTGCAGGGACCGTATCTTGGATCGTCAGATGGAACCCATTCTTATCCCTGTTAATCTCTGAGACCCAAGGGTGACGCACCTAGGCCCCCCACCGAAGCCTACCCACCTACCCGCTGGAGAAGGTATAGGGGACTCGGAGAACTGGGGGTAGGATTACTCAGAAGACCACGAGTCTTATCACACCGAGGCGTTCGATGAACCTGAACCTTATCCAGCCCCTGGCCACCCGCCCCTCAGACCTTCAACACCGGAGACTTTTCCTCACTCCGACCCGGCCATGAGGCTTCTCTTTGAGAAGGTCTGGCGCCTAGAGAGCGAGCAGCATCGCAACCACCAACCCCTCTCGGCGAAGCCACGACCTGGGCCATTTACCGAACGCATCCTTAATTACCACCAGGAGAAAGAAATCCAACCCCTCTGCATTGCCTTCTACACTGGCACAGAGGATCCTCTCACCCACATACATTCTTTCCAGTTTGCCCTGGGGTGCAAGGGCTTAAATGACGAAGGCATGTGCCTCATCTTCCCTTCCACCCTCAACGGCGCGGCCCTGAATTGGTTGTACAGGCTGAACCTCAGCACCATCAACACATTTGACAGTCTGAAGCAGGCCTTCTTGGACCATTTCATGATCCAGACTGATCACCTCTACTCCGCGGACGACCTGTACATGCTTAGACAGGGTGAGGACGAGCCCCTTCGGGAGTATGCAACTAGGTTCAGCCACGAATACTCCCGCTGCCCAGATATTGATGATCGTGCCGCCTTCAGTGCTTTCAAGGGTGGCCTCCGAGAGTCCAACTTCCGGTACTTGGTGCATAGCAACCCTTAGAACACATATGCTGAGCTAATGAAGCAGGCAGTAGTTCATTCCAAGGTTGAGTACTTCAACTCCAAGTGTGGCCCAGCCACCCTACCGCATAATCCTTTTGCTGATCCTCTACCTACTTTAGTACCCACCCCGGCCCCACCTCAACATTCTACTCCCGCCCCAAGTACCCAGGGTGCCCAGCACCCGAAAAGGAAAGAAAGCTACCAGCATACCTTCAACAATAACAAGCGGGGCAAACATGGCAACCACCACTAGTCCAACGAAGGCAACCCACACAAGACAGGTGATCGGGCTCCACTCCCCTTCTCACCCAAGCCTAGGTTCGAGGTCTTCACCACCCTAACACTACCTACAAGAATGTCCTGGTGCATGAGGCAGCTATCATACCCAAGCCTCCCCCCCGAAGACTAGGCAGCAAGCCTATGCCTAACACAGGTGTCTTCTGTCGCTTTCATTTGTTCGGTGGCCACGATACCGAATCTTGTGTTGCCTTGCGCAACATCATTGAAGGACTTATTCGTGAGGGAAAGTTGAATAAATACGTGCACAACCTCCCACCCTCACCAAACCCTCACCAACGGCAGATCAACATGATCTCAACCATCAGTGGTGGTCCTACCATGGCTGGAACCTCCAGCAACTCCATCAAACATTATGTCCGCTCCACATATGCGCACCAGGTCTTCAGCACTGAGCAGGGACGCTGTCGAAGACACAAAAATCAGGCTGGGCTCCCATCACCTTATGCGAGAAGAAGGAGCATGGTGTCATTCTCCCCCATGATGACCCAATAATTATCCGCTAAAAAAGTCTTGTAAGTTTGGTCTCGATCGAGCGGTCGGATGTAAGCCAATCGCACGATCAGACGATGATTGCTTTGCCCAACACTAGAATCATTGATTCAAAGTATCCGGGACTCTAATTCTCGATCTGCAAGTTCCCACACGATCGCAGAGGTACAGAGAACAACATATTTGAAATTAGGACCAATCCAACGGTCTGAACCTATTGAACTCGAATATTGCATATTGGGTGCAATATTCGTTCAACTGTCACATGGTAACCAATTCCAAATTCGAGCATACTGTCGTGCTTAGGACGATAATGAGAACATTGTAGAATGTAATGGGCCTCCACACAGAGGCCCACGCACGGCCCATAGCCGTTGACAGCGAGTGGGTGTCTTGGGAAATTTCCGGCGACGAAAATTTCTCAAAACACCCTACAATACCTATACAAATACGTTCACTACACCTAAGGAAGAATTTTTGGTTCTTGGACCGGGCCAAAAAATGGCCGGAGATGGGTGAAAAACAGCCAAAACTGTCGGCCCAGTATGGGTATGTAAATCATTCTCCAAAACTCCAAAATTAATCCAAACTAACTACATAAATAGGTAGAGCATAATGAGGGGATGAATTTCCATACCTCACTAGATGGATTCGGTGAATATGCCAATGTAGGATGACTAAAAATGCCTAAAAGGGGGTGAATAGGCCAATTTAAGATTATAATCAATAAATAAAAATAAACTTCGATAGAAGGATTGATATGGCTTATCAGTCATGAAACATGCAGATCATAAAGTAAAAGAAAACGCATAGAATTATTGTACATGGAAACTCTGGGGAAAATCTATGGGACTCCTCAGTCCAAAACAAATCCACTATATAACCCTAAGAAGTACTCACACACTTATCCTAGACACAATCTACATAATGTTTACCGACTTCTTCGTAACCCAACTTCTGTCATGGGATGATCTTTCGACACTCCTTATGTTGAACGCAATAATGGTCACGATTGCTTCAAGCTCGCCAGATACAAACTGCCAAAACGATTTTGGTGCCCTCAATCGTATGAGTCACAGAACATGTAAATGAATGCAATATGAATGATGAAAGTATTTGATAAATCACCAAGTAAACATGGAACGCTTGATGACTTATCTCAACTATATGCACAACAACTTTTCTTGAAAAATTTAGATGATCAATCAAAACATATGAAAGCTGTGTAAAAAATCAAGAAGTCACGCCATGTCTTTATACAGACATATTCTCCTTTTACCAAGGGAATTGCTTAAAGCCAAGAGATCAAATATTGCCTAAACAGATTTGATTCTTTTAAACAATCACGCCAGCTTACGCATGCTTTTCAATAACTTCCAATCTCATCAATTTATATAAGGAAACAATATAAACCAAGATGAAAAAAAAATGAAATCAAATAGGACGTGCTCTCTAAGTTAAAGATGAAAAAGGATATTTTAAGTTTAAACCAAAATAAGGTCCAAATAGTAAAATAATATCAAGAGATAAAATCTAATCCTATTAAAAAGAGGACTAATATAAAAGCATTTGAGTGAAAATAACTCTAGCTAGGAATCCTATAATAAATGCATGATTATGTCATGATTGACCTGAAAATCAAGTTTCTCATATCGATCCAGCCATACTTTGAAATCGGGAATTGAATGTGTTGCGACAAAACTTCCAGTAAAACATATTCACACACTAATTCCCAACTTATGCTAGAGTTTAGGAAATGTCAATACAATTTTCATACTAACATATTGTCCATGTAGCTTCTCTTGATTGGAAACACAACACTGAAAACGAAATGGTTACCAAAAGTAGAGGAAGAGATTAAGACTTGGAGTGAAGCAATGAAAAAGAGATGAGCGATGGCATCAGGCATCGGAGGCTATTAAAATTGGATTAGGACTTCGTTGATATTCGTGCCAAGTCCAGTGTTTCAAGTAGAGGCAAAGAAAGTCGAGCTTTTTTTTTTTTTTTTTGTTTTGGCTGAGATGAATTCCAGGATTTCTTACCCAAGTATCTTGCCTGAGAGTCATTATTACTTATTTTTATATTTTGAAGAAAATGAGTTCGAAGTTACTCTTAATGGAGATTTTCATTGATACACAAATTATGGAAAAAGAAATTGCTAGGATAGATTTCAAACGTATATATAAAGATAGAAAGCCACATATCTTAGACACAATATGATATGAGAACTATTACGAAGATAAACCTTAAAATCCTAATTAATTATGATTGAGAGTTTTATTAACAACTCAACCAATACATTACTTTAACCTTTATTGACAAAACAAACTCTTATTAGCACATAGTATCTATTTAATTCCCAGTTTCAGTCTCAGCAACACCAGGTCCTGGTTTTTCATGGTGCCCTTGGCCGTGCCTATACTCTCTCATGGGTGGGGGGCTTGGGCTTGGGCGGGGGCGGGGTCATGAGACATGGTCTAATATGCGGATGGCATCTGGGAGGTGGCATACGTGGTCGGTCTCACTACTACAAAAATCGAAATAGACGACGGGAAACCACTGTCGTGTAAAAGGTTTTTCAACTGTCGTGAAATCGACTGCCATATATTTGGGTTTCAAACTACGACGGCTTTTCACCGTCGTTGTTTATCTGTAAAGACGACGGTTTTTAAAGTTAATCGTCGTTGTTTAGAGGTAAAGATCATTAATTATAGGAGGAAAGACGACTGTTTTTAATAAAACCGTCGTGTATTGTATATGAAGATGACGGTTTTTTATGAAAACCGTCGTGGATTGTTTATAAAGACGACGGTTTTTTATAAAAAAAAACCGTCATCTTTACATACAATAGACGACCCTTTTTTTTTAAAAAAGGTCATCTTTACCTATAATAGACGACACTTTTTTATAAAAACCGTTGTTAATTATCTGTAAATACCATGATTTATTATAAAAACCGTCGTCTAATAAGTTTCCAAACTGCTACATTTTAGTTCTTTTTGATTTCCTATGATGCTATACAACGATTTTAACTAGAAAACCAACCATAATGCTTTATTAATGAATATACACACTCAAAAATAGTTTCTTTCATAAAACTTGAAGATTAAATAGTTATTACAACAAACATAATTCCTAACAATCTTTATTCTACAACAAACATAATTCCTAACAAGACCTACGTACTCCTAATCCAAGCATCCTCAGCCAAACATACAAATGATGCACAACTGAAGTCTCCTCTATCATCCCTGTAAATAAATCAAAATGACAAAGAGACAAAAAAAGTTAAGATTATAAACATAAAAAATTAGGTGGAAGAGAAATTTTACCATTGTTCCATATTTCCATAGAAAACTTGTAAAATGAGCATAAAAAAGACCATCGAGAACCTGCAAAAGGAAAAATATATAAATAAAATGATGGTGAAAAGAGAAGGTAACAAATTTTCAACAACAAAAAAACATACGACTCACATAGAAAACCTGCAAAAGAAAAAGTTATAAATCTGCAAGCTTCCTCATCATCTCCTGATAACCAAATCAGAAAATCTAAAAAGAAACCAGAAATATAAAAAAATATGTAAACAAACCAAACAAATCAAGAGAGACAAAATCTAAAATTAGGGAGACAAAGAACATACCAGAAACGCAAAGAGACTAATCCATAATTCACTAGCAAGATATAGAAGGGTCTTTTAGAGAGTTTCATGAGGGTGTTTTAGAGAGTGCAGGAGGGTTTCAAGGAGGGAGAGATAAGGTTTTCAGAGATGGGGGAAAATCTGAAAATTTGTTGAGCGCAAATTCACTTAAGTAGCCTTTTTTTAGCGTGTTTTAAAACACGACGCTTGTTAATGAGAGATAAGGTTTTCAAAGACAGGTGAAAATTTGAAAATTTGTCGAGCACGAATTCACTTAAGAGGCCATTTTTTAGTGTGTTTTAAAAGACGACGCTTTTTAAAAAAATATCGTCACCTTTACATATAATAGACGACCCTTTAAAAAAAAACCGTCATCTTTACATAAAATAGATGACCCTTTTAAACAAAAACCGTCGTCTTTACTACATAAAAACAGTGGAAGCAGAAGGGACATAGTGGGAATTTGCAGTTTTGTGGTCCGAGCTCTGATTGAGGTCCATGATACTTTTCTGAAACGGGAATGAAGCCAGGAATCAGACTCAGTGCTTTGCACTGACATATGGTGGTTTTTGGCCATTTGAGGTCGTTTAGCCTTCCAAAAACGCATTTAAAGAGTTGAAAGTAAAGACGACGGTTTTTTTTTAAAAAGAGTCGTTTATTATAGGTAAAGATGACGGTTGTTTTTAAAAAGGGTCATCTTTACCTATAATAGACGACTCTTTTTAAAAAAAAACCGTCCTCTTTACTTTCAACTCTTTAAATGCGTTTTTGGAAGGCTAAACGACCTCGAATGGCCAAAAACCACCATATGTCAGTGCAAAGCACTGAGTCTGATTCCTGGCTTCATTCCCTTTTCAGAAAGCTGTCATGGACCTCAATCAAAGCTCAGACGACAAAACTGCAAATTCCCACTATGTCCCTTCTGCTTCCACTATTTTTATGCATCAAAACCGGATAACAGCCCCATACTAATTACATGCCTCTTGAAAACATTATTTGGTAGCCCTTTATTGAATGTAACAGCCCCATACTAGTTACATACATCTTTACATATAATAGACGACCCTTTTTCCAGAACAAACCATCATCTTTACTTCATAATAGACGACCCTTTTTTAAACAAACCATCATCTTTACATATAATAGACGACCCTTTTTTTTTTTAAACGAGTCGTCTTTACTTTATAATAGATGACTCTTTTAAAAAAAAACCGTCATATTTACATGTAATAGACGACGGTTCTTTCAAAACAACCATGTCTTTACCAAAAAAAGGACACTTGATTTTTAAAAGACGACGCTTGTCACACCTGCTGTCGTTGTTTTTTGGTCAGATTTTAACTCTGAAGAAAACCTTTTTAAT